TTCTTCTTCTTATTATTATTAATATGATTAGTCTTATTAGTCGTCTTAGTATTCTTATTATTATTCTTGGTCTTGTTCGTAGTATTGTCATTCTTCTTCGTATGATTAATATTATTCTCGTTATTCGTATTATTAATATTCTTCGTATTAGTACTGGTATTATGAGTATTGTTCTTATTGTTCGTCTTCTTCGTATTATTATTATTATTATTCTTATGACTATTCTTCTTAATAGTATTAGTATTAGTCTTATTATTATTATTGTTCGTTTTCTTGTTCATCTTATAATTATTATTATTCCGCCTCCTCCTCCTCCTCCTCCTCCTCCTCCCTCCTCCTCCTCCTCCTCCTCCCTCCTCCTCCTCCTCTCCCCCTCCTCCTCCTCCTCCCTCCTCTCTCCTCCTCCCCCTCCCTCCCCCCTCCTCCCTCCTCCTCCTCCTCCTCCTCCTCCTCCTCCTCCGTCCCTCCTCCTCCTCCTCTCTCCTCCTCTCCTCCTCCTCCTCCTCCTCCTCTCCTCCCTCCTCCTCCTCCCTTCCTCCTCTCCTCCTCCTCCTCCTCCTCCTCCTCCTCCTCCTCCCCCTGACCCTTCCTCGGTCGATCCCGACCCGTTCTTCTTCAGATGCGGGTCCAGCCGTGGCGGCGAGCCGCCTCTGTGAATGCCGGCGAGGACAGCACAAAAACGCCAGGGAAGGCCGCCGCTATCTCGACTGGCCCTCCTCTGAGTTCCACCCCGCCCCCCCACCGGAGGGGGCCGCGGGTGATTCAGGCCTCGGACAAAAATAGCGAATACGCATGCCACATTCATCTGTCAATACCTTCCCCTCCCCCCAATGTTCAGAGTTGGTGGCGGGTCTGATGATTTGCACCTCGACCGCAGTCTTCCCCGCGCGTGCCAACTTTGAGTTCGGGGGGGAGGGGGAGTGTTCAGCAACTGTTCCCCTCTACCGTAGGGGGTGACTCCCTGTGGCTGGGAACATGGACCTGGAATCGGCGAAGCATCGCAGGCACATAGGCGATAGGCCCCCGATACGAAGCCGTAATCTCCTTCGACAGGTTGGGATATCGGGCACCTATCGGCGATGAACGGGCGATTGGGGGTGGATGCATCCACCTTGAGCCTAGTCGTTTTCGGGTCACATCTCGGACCTCTCACGGCCGTTCGGGAGGATCCGGGCACCCACGGAACGCTCCCGGCGAGGCGCAGTCGCTGGAAGCCATCCCGAGGCTGGACACCCACCGAGGAGAACCAACAAAAACGTCAGACCTCTCAGAGAATTGAGAACCTCCGTCTCCCACCTGAGCGCTTCCCCCCTTAACGCTGCCCCTGAGGACCTCACAAAGCGCGTGCTGACCAGAGCTTCGGGGGGGGATCCAGCTGCGCATGGCGACCTGGAAATCCCCGACGTCGTGACTTCTCCGCCACGTGAAACCCCAGACACCCGGCGCCCCTGCCTGGGGGCCCGATTCTCGTCTCGCGGATACTTTACTGACGGCCCCTCCCCCGCCTGTCTCGTTGAGCGGACACTGGATGGCCGTTACGCCTCGACACGCTTGCAAGAACAAAGAGGCAGCACGTGCGGGATCACCGAGAGCTCCTACGAGCAGCGCGCGCGCAGAAGGCAGGGCAACGACTGGCGGGAACGCAGGGAAGCCTCCGCAAAGGAGGAGGAGGAGGAGGAGGAGGAGGAGGAGGCGCACAAAAGCAAGGACTCCCAAGACGTCCCCGCCTCGGCGGGCCGCTCCCGGCCACGCCGCGGCGGCTCGGTGCTGCTCGTGTGCCCACGCAGCCAGCTGGCCTCGCGCGCCACCTTCGGGGGCGCCCCCGCACCCCGAGGGGGCGCGAGGAGGAGGAGGAGGAGGAGGAGGAGGAGGAGGAGGAGCGGAGGAGGAGGAGGAGGAGGAGGAGGAGGAGGAGGAGGAGGAGAGGAGGAGGGGAGGGAGGAGGAGGAGGAGGAGGAGAGGAGGAGGAGGAGGAGGAGGAGGATGCGGAGGAAGAAGAGGAGGAGGAGGAGGAAGAGAAGGAGGAGGCGGAGGAGGAGGAGGGGGAGGAGCCTCCGCCCCGCGACCCTCCTGTTCCAGGTCCAGCGTTATTTTTCTTCGGATGCCGCATCCACACGCTTCGATAGAGCCCGACTTCCTCAATTCGCGACAAAAATTCGCGACGGCCCCCCTCCTCTCCCCCCCCCCGCACCAACCCCCTCCTCTGGTTACGTCCGTGATCGCTAGGGGACGAAGAAAGGTCTTCAGCATCCACATGTTTCGATGCTGTCCCTGATAATTAGCCCGCGCTCGCGCCGTTCGCATCCCGCGCGAACTGACAAGAGGTCGCGATGCAGATCGGCAACCTCGATCGAGAGAAATGAAGACCGGCGCTGCACTGTGCAACGCTCTGACTGCCAGGTCCAGCGTGGGGGGAGGCACCACGCCGCTGAGAAATGCATCTGGCACATGGGCGACTTCAGCCAAAGCCCTCCGAGTTCTGCATGCAGCACCGAGATTTTCAGGTGTACCACTTCAAGCCCGACCACAAAGGACCAACCCCGACCCGGCCGGACTGTCTCTCGGATTGGACGCGGCCGGGGGGTCTGAGCTGGATGGGCTCCGAGAAAATATGTCAAGAAGACGGGATAGGGTGTAGGCAGGGCGGCAAGGGGCGGGGAGGGCGACTGAGTCGCAGCTGACGGCGGCTGCACAACAGCAGATGCGACGGCCGACTGAGCATTACAACGCCTTGTTTTCCCCAAGCGCATGTTGGCACCGATGATGGCACGTGCGTTCGAATCGGCGGAGTGGCCGTCTCCGCGCTGGTCGCTGCCGACCCAGACGAGCTCATTCGGAGGTGCGCCTCCACAGGCACATATCCAGGCCCCCCGAGTGCGCCTGACTTTTGGTTCACACTGGTCCTCCTCCTCCTCCTCCTCCTCCTCCTCCTCCTCCTCCTCCTCCTCCTCCTCCTGCTCCTCCTTGCACCTCCTCCTCCTCCTCCTACTCCTCCCCCTCCTCCTCCCCAACGCGCCCTCGGGGGGCGCATGCGAACGATTCTGGCGCGATCGTCAATGCGCGACAACCACCCAGTGGCGACTTGCTCGAGGCAGAAGCATCGCGACTCCGAACGCCAGGCGAGGTCGCTGAAGGCCGCCCCCCATGGATGGCCCTCCGAGAATCACCCCAACTAGGTCCAGGCATGTCCTGAAAACCCGAGAACATACCCGTACCTAGCCGAGGTGTCCGAGAACCACCCCAGCCGGGTCCGGGTACTTGGGCTTGCTGGGTTCAGGCACATACACGTACGTGGCCGCGGTGGCGACACGCCCAAAAACGCTCTTGAGCACATCTCCTGCGTCCCAGGGCCGTTCCCGACGCGGCCGCTGCGGCCCCCTGGGGGGCGCGACGGTGCAACGTCGCTCCTGGAGGGCAAGCCCAGACGCATCGGCTGTCAGGATAGCGAGGAGATCATTTTCTTCAAGTGGGACAGGCGCCACCACTCCTGTGCAGCGTTGAGCCGCACGCGCACCACAATGCCCCAGACGTCCTCAACAAAGATCAGCGCTTGTCGCTAGCCGACCACTGAGCACGCCGCTGCGTCTGGACGCGCGGATGCCGCACTGGCGCGCGCGGGGGGCAAGCTGCTCGGGCACAGTGGCAGGCGCCGAGTCTCGCGGGCGGTCCATCCCACCCTGGCTGACCGCGGCTCAGGGAAAGTTTCGGACCAGTGGTAGTGGGGCGAGCCCGCTCAAAATCAATCCTCGGAACCCTCCCAACGTACCTGTGCAATTCTTCAATCCCAGATCAGCTCTTCTCATGGTCCTGGGGCCCGAAACCGGCTCGAAGACTAGGAACAAGCTACAAAAACTTCTAGAACCCAGCACCTCGAATCTCGCCACCCCCTCCTTCAGAAACCGGGCGAAGGCTGGCAAACCCGTGGCTGCTAAAACGGAGCTCCAGGAATTTGTTGTTTTCCTCTGGGAAGCAGCCTGTTTACTACTTGTTACTTAGTGCGCTGAGCCTTATTCTGGGAATGTGTTCTTTCTTCCGGGAAGACCGTTTTAGCAGCCACGGATTTGCTAGCCCTCGCCCAGCTTCCGACTCCTGCTGGTCGGGATCAGCACTGTGCCACCTCAGGCCCACAGCCAGCTCAAAGTCTTGACAAGCATTCGGGCGACACGCGCGCGCGCAGAACCGGCGCCATCTCTACGGAATGGTGCGATGCGGATCACATGCGTGATTCCAGCAGACACTACCACGCGAGCCAACCGCGCGCTCCGAACGGGCCTCATCTCCTTCAAAGTGCACCACCAGGGCCCTCGACACCGCCACGATCAAGATCGGCGCTTGAACCCTTCATTTCTGAATTACGGTGCCCGCGAATTTCCTTACATGTGGCCCGCAACGCACCAAGAGCTTCACTAGATGTCCGATGCTCACTCACTGGTTTAGCGGATTTTCTGAAAAGTGGCCGCAACAAGACAAGAGCTTTGTTTTATACTTTCGATGCTCACAGGCTGTCATTCATGGATGTCCTGAGATGTGGCAACGCCCGCAACGCACCAGGAGCTTCATTTCTATATACGAAGCCCACAGACCTGCTGCACTGATTTCCTGAAATGCGATCTGCAAGGAAACAGGATCGTCATGTTTTACGCCCGATGCCCACAGAAAAGGCTTAATTGATTTCCTTGGATGTGGACCGCAACTACACTACAAGAGCCTCATGTGATTGGCGATGCACACGCACTGAATTCACTGATGTTCCGAAATGTGCCCAGCAACGGAACAGGAGCGCTTCATGTCAAGCACTCACGCGAATTCACAGACCGGCTTCAGAAAGAGTGAACAGGCATGGAAAAAGGAAGGGGAGCGCGAGAGAGGACTACAAGCGAGAGCTCGCACGAGAAATCGGAGGGGCGATGCCGCTGCGGACCTCGGCGGCAACAACGGCGGACACGTTGCCCGCTCGGCGCTGCAGCTTCTTCTTCGCCCGGACCACGCTCTTGGAGGCTGCCTGGGGGCAACGTGGGCCGACGACGGGGAGCCACGTCGTCCCCACAGCCACGCCCGTCCCTCTCCCTCCGCTGCTCGCCCGGCCCCCCTCTCGGAGCAACCCCTCTCTCTCTCTCTCTCTCTCTCGCGCGTGGTCTTTCCTTTTGTCTCTCTCTCTCTCTCTCTCTCTCACGCTCTCTCTCTTCTGTTTGCTTTCTCTCTCGCTCTCTCTCTCTCTCTCTCCATGTCTCTCTTGCCCCCTCCTCGAATGTAGATTGTTCTCGTGTGTATGCATGTGTATATCGATATGCATGTGCATGTCGATTAGTCCTCTCTCTCTCTCTCTCTTCCGCACCTCTCCCTCCCCATTTCTCACCCAGGACAGTGCGAATGAGAATAGTCAGGGGGGAAGGCACGGCTTAAGATACTTAAGCGAGAGGGGCAACTCGGACATGGCATACTACGACTGGTTACGCATGTAACATTCACATAGATCTACATGTTGAAAGGAGGGGGAGCGAAGAGAAAACACACAACAGCGAGGTAGAGAGGAGAGACAAGACAGTCGAGGCAATAGAGAACAGGTCATGGTGAAGACCCACTGCGCATCTGGAAAGCACGAGGGAGGAGACATGTAAGACAATTTGGTCTGTGGTTCGGGGGAGGGGCACTGCATCGACCTTGCAGACGTACTGCAGCGGGTCTCTGCGTGGATACCTGTCAACGCAAGGCCCCGAAACGGCGAACCAAAAACGAAGTGACTCTCGCGTGGATTTGTGGCAGGCTCCGCTCCTGGCCCCCCCCCCAAAAAAAAAACCGCACGACATGCATCTGGAAAGCCCGGACGACATTCTCCGGATTCCAGACGGAATCCGCTCTGCGACTCTGGCGCCACGAGAAAGGGCGAGGAGGAGGAGGCGGAGGAGGAGGAGGAGGAGGAGGAGGACGAGAGGGAGGAGAACGAGAGGGAGGAGGAGGACGAGAGGGAGGAGAACGAGAGGGAGGAGGAGGAGGAGGAGGAGGAGGAGGAGGAGGAGGAGGAGGGGCGCACGATGCGAGGGCGGCGAGGGCGCTCCTTCAGGGCGCGAGCGGTGCGGTCCTGGAGCCGGCCCTCGAGCTCCCGGGCCTCGGGGGGGGCACGCGGGGCGCGGCAACGCAGCGCCGAGGAGGGGGGAGCCCGAGGAGGAGGGCGCGCGGCCCGGGCGCGGCAAGGCCCGCAGGCTGCCCGCGGGTGCCTGCAGAAGGACCCCTCCTCGGGGCGGTGCCCGCACGGCGCGGGCGCGACAGCACGACGACGACGACGACGACGACGACGACGACGACGACGACGACGACGACGACGACGACGACGACGACGTCACACGCACACGCACACGCGCAAGCACACGCATCCGCTCGGGGTCATTTCTCGCACGATGGCGCCCTCGCACGAGAAACGACCCCGAGCGTCCCCGCGCGAGGTGCGATGGGAGGAAAACCCCAAGGCTTATGTCGGGCGTGTCCCCCTACAGGGGGGGTTTCCGACGAAAAACAAAGAGTACCCCAAAAATACCCCCAAAAGGTAAAAAAATATTAAAAAAATGGTCCCCTGACTATTTTTTGATTATCTTTTCATTTTTGTTGGGGATATTTTATATTTTTCGTCGAAAATCCCCCTGTAGGGGGACAGGCCCGACGTAACCCAAGGCGCCCCGAACGCTGCAGCTCCTGAGCGCCCGCGGGGGGTCGCCACGCATCGCACGCAGCGAAGAGACTCAACATACCCTGACGAAGTCCGCCCGATTTACCCGATTGATTGATGCGTGTCTCCACTGAATGCTTCTGCGCAGCTGTGCTCGCTTCGGCCGGCGATGCCAGCCTGCCTCACTCCCGCTGCCTTCTGCGGACCCTCGCCAGCTCTCGCCGACGGAAAAGTCCACCCGTCGCCCCCTCGACCCTGCATGTTACCGGAATTGGCTGACCTAGACGTCCTGACCGCCCCCCCGAGTCTGCCACGCATGAGTCTTGGCCCTTCCTCTATGGCCGCTGGTTTGCGGTAGGGTCCCATGGCATCGCACGGCGCCATGGAGCACAATAACACATCTATAGTCGCCCTTGGTGCCCGAAGTGTGTTGACCAAAACGCTGAAACGATGCTGAGAGGGACAAGGTGGCTACGCCCCCACCCCCTAACGTGGCAAATCCTTCATTTAACCTGACCCTGGCCCTGTCGACACTGCACGAAAGCTAACCTGACCCATTAAAGCTATCGTGACCAACGGCTCGGCGACACCAGTGTGTCACGCGCGCGCTGTAGCAAATGATGCACCGTAATGGGGCGACACAGCAGCATGCAATGCAAAAGTGCCAACTGTATCACTAATCCGTCTCCTTTCCAATGACGAATCTGGCTGGCGCTGAAGCGCGAGCAACTTTCGCAATCATGGATGTGGCTGGCGCTGTGGCGAGAGCAACATTCTCAATCATGGACGTGGCCGGCGCTAGGGCGAGAGCAACTTTTGCAATCGTGGATGTGGCCCGCGCTATGGCGAGAGTAACTTTCGTAACCGTAGGTGTGGCCGGCGCTGAAGCGACAGCCTCATTTGCAATGATGGATGTGGCCCGCGCTGAGGCGAGAGTGACTTCCGCTGGCGCCGAGGCGGTAACGACATGTTCAATAAAAAATGTGGCCCACGCACAAGCCGGAGCATCATTCCGAGACAGGCGTGTCGCCAAAACCACTCAGAGCGGGCCCGGCTCGGTGTCACCGAGGTCCGGGTTGCGTCAGGCGGCTAGTCCACGTTAGGGGGGGGGGTTGTACAGGACGCACCGCCACGGCCCGAGACTGCGCGACACGGCTACCCCCCAAGACCTTCAGGACATCCCAGGAACGGCTGCCTCGAAACCACGGAGCGTCTGGGGCACGTCGGCTTCTATGGGTCCACACTGATCGGGGTCATCGTGCGTGGCGCGCGTGACATCCAGATCGGCGGGTGTGCAGGAGAAGTAATCCATGTCCAGCGGGCGGGGCGCGTCAGGAGTCGTGGGTGTCGCGTGGTGTCGTGGGGTGTCGCGGAGCGTCGTCGGCCATCTTGTGGTATCATCGTGGTCGTTGTGACGTGGTGAGGTGACGCTAAGAGACGCTTTGTCGTCGCGTCGTGGTGTGGTGCCGTGGTGCCGTAGTGCCGTGGTGTCGTGATGTCCTGATGCCGTAGTGTCGTGTTGTCATGGTGATGTGGCGTCGGCGTGTCGTGGTGTCGCGGTGTCGTGGTGTCGCGGTGTTGCGGTGTGGGTGGCGTTGTCGGGGTGTCGTGGTGCCGTTTTGTCGTGACGTCGTGGTCTCGCAGTGTCGTGTTGTCGTGGCGTCCGCTACCGACCACCCTGTGGCACAACGTTGCACATCGCCTTCGTGGTCTTCCTCATCTCCTGGGCCTCTCCTTACCAGTCGGTGGCACCTGGTGCACTTCGCCTACCTGGTCTTCCTCTACCTCACGGGCGTCGACCTCGTGACGGCCCTCCCCACGCAGCACTTGATGATGGTGATTCTGGCGCGCGCCGTTGACGGCAACACCACTTCGCTCTCCCTCCGGGACTTCACCCCCAGCTCCTGTCCAAGGTGTACCTTTTCCTGTGCAAGCTCTTCGGCACCGCCTGTACTCCGCACCCTCCGGCCGCCGCAGGCCCCGCCCGCCCGCGCCCTGTCTCCCCAATTAGTGTTTCGCGCGCCCCGCCTAGCTCTTAACCGGAAGAGGCCCGCTCTCGACCCGCCGACCAAAAAAGTTGTCGTGGCGTCGTGGCGTCGTGGTGTCGTGGTGCCGTGGTGCAGTGTTGTCGTGATGTCGTAATGTCGTGGCGTCGTGGTGATGCGGCAACAGGTTGTCGTGCTGTCGTGCTGTCGTGGTGTCGCGGTGCCGTGATGTCGCGGTGTCATGTTGTGGCGGTGTTGCAATGTCGTGTTGTCAGGGTGTCCTGGTGTCGTGCTGTCACGGTGTTGCGGCATCGTGTTGCCGTGGCGTCGTCATGCCGTGTTGTCGTGGCGTCGCGGCGTCGTTGTCGTGCCGTCGTGGCGTCGTGGTGCTGCGTCGTCGTGGCGTCGTGGCGTCGTGGTGTCGTGGTGCCGTGGTGCAGTGTTGTCGTGATGTCGTAATGTCGTGGCGTCGTGGTGATGCGGCAACGGGTTGTCGTGCTGTCGTGCTGTCGTGGTGTCGCGGTGCCGTGATGTCGCGGTGTCATGTTGTGGCGGTGTTGCAATGTCGTGTTGTCAGGGTGTCCTGGTGTCGTGCTGTCGCGGTGTTGCGGCATCGTGTTGCCGTGGCGTCGTCATGCCGTGTTGTCGTGGCGTCGCGGCGTCGTTGTCGTGCCGTCGTGGCGTCGTGGTGCCGCGTTGTCGTGGCGTCGTGGTGTCGTGGTGCCGTGTTGTCGCGGTGTCGTTGCGTCGTGGTGGCGCGGTTGCGTCGTGCATTGGCGTCGCGGCGCACCGCCCTGACCGGCTGTAGCCGGTCTACTTGGGAACACGCTTTGCCATTCTCGGACACCTTCGACATGGGCCTCAAGCAACGTCTGGAACCTGATGTGTCCCAGCCACGCCAGGTTGGGCACGTTCGCGACGATACGACTGAGGTGGCATACAACCGAACGCCAGCCACACTGCTGCCTTGGGAGAGAAGGATGCTGTCGACCGCTTGATCCGATATAGCTTCGCTTATAGACAATGGTGTTGCAACAGTGGGACATCAAGAACGACCCCACAGAAGTGAAACAATGCAGTTACTCAACGACCGAGAATCTTCCAGACATCGGGATCGAAACAGCACGGCGGCGGCGAGGTGGGGAGACGCGGGTGGAGGAGAGGGGGGGGGTAGGAAGAGGCGGGGAAGTGACGAAGCAGGGACCCGTGAGGGATGGACGTGGGGGGCAGGGGGAGCACGAGGACGAGGCAGGGGCAGGGGGAGGCAAAGGCATGGGCAGGGCAGCGAGCGAGGAGCACGCGCGGAGGGCAGCGCGGAGGGCAGCGCGGACGCTCGCCGACGCCCAGAGGCCCCCCGCCTTCTGGGCGGTGCGGCCGAGGAGCGCCCCGACGCCGCCGTGCTGAAACTGCCGTCGGGCGGGGCGGCACGGCTCCCGCGGGCTCACGGAGGAGGCGGCGAGAGGGGAGGAGGAGGAGGAGGGGGGGAGGAGGAGGAGGAGGAGGAGGAGGAGGAGGAGGAGGAGGAGGAGGAGGAGGAGGAGGAAGAGGAGGAGGAGGAGGAGGAGGAGGGGAAGGAGGACAAGCTAGGTGCGCTCGCGTCATATCTGACGTCCTACCCCTCCCTCCCATCCCTTACCATGGCGCTGATTTTCTCTATCCGCGGACGCGTGTCGTAGCGGACCTGTGGCTCCGCGCGCGCGTGCGTAGTGGGTGGTGGTGCACGTGCGTGCGTGCGTGCGTGCGTGTGTGCGTGGTTGTCGTGGTGGTGGTGGTGGTGGTGGTGGTGGTGGGTGGTGGTGGTGGTGGTGGTGGTGGTGGTGGTGGTGGTGGTGGTGGTGGTGGTGGTGGTGGTGGTGGTGGTGGTGGGTGGTGGTGGGTGGTGGTGGTGGTGTGGTGGTGGTGGTGGTGGTGGTGGACTGATGTGGTGGTGGTGGTGGTGGTGGTGGTGGTGGTGGTGGTGGTGTGGTGGCGGTGCGGCGCGGTGGTGGCGGGCGGATGGGCGCGCGAGAAAAAGGCCCGCGCTGGGGCGAGAACGCCATCCTGAACGACGGAGGCCAAACACCGATCCGAAAATGAGGCCCACGCTGCAGCGGGAGCACGATTCGGAACGATTCGGGAGCAGAAATGAGGCCGGCGCCTCAACGAGAGCAGCATTTTGGGAAAAAATGACGCCGGCGCCTCAGCGAGAGTCGTTTCCCGGGATTTCCCGGGCATCCTGTGTGTAAAAAAACAATACGCGGAGGGTGCGCGGCCATCACCCGGACGCCATCAGGGGAAGAGGGAGAGTATTTTCATATTGAATAATTGTGGAGGAGGAGGAGAAGGAGGAGGAGCAGGAGGAGGGGGAGGAGGGGCGGGAGCCAACAGGAGCAGCAGCAGCAGGTGGACGAGGGCACCTGGGGAGGGGGGCAGAAGAGCAGCAGCGGCAGCGGAGTGTGGACGAGCCGAGGAGGGGGAAGAAAGACACAAAGAGCAGCAGCAGGAGATAGACACACGCAGAATTCGGGGGGAGGAGAGCGAGCAGGGATGCGAGGGGGAGGGGAGCGGAAAGAACAAGAGGAAAGGCTGGAGGAGGTGCATGTTCGACGACCGGGGCACCTTGGAACGGGCAGGGCGACGTCCTGCCTGTGGTGGAATGTGCGCGTCAGATCCGACCAAGGAACTACATTTTCACGCAACAACGTGATCTCGATTCGCCAGGACTGACGTTACGATGCGATTCTGAAGATCGCCAGGCAAACCGGGAACACCACACGAGCCGACCTGCAGTGGGCAAACTGGCAAACTGTTGCAGTGGACCGCGACCTGAGCGAACAGAGAGCTACAATGGCGTCATCTTCGCAGCTCTGGGTGTGAACGCCAGCCGACTAGAATACAGTGGCATCAGGAGCTTCCTCGCCAGACCCTGGAAATATCTTCTAGATCCGACGCGAGGTGCCACCAGCGAGCGCTGCTGGCGCAGCCGGTGAGCTCTTGCAGATCGGTGGGGAAACGCATGGACCTCGACACCATGGAATGCGGTGGGCTACACTCCTGCTGCTCGCTTGACATGCTCAGGGGATGCGTGGATGGGGTCCCGAAGGGTCTGAGCAACCATGGAGATCACGGAACTACGAGCGCGTTTCTTTATTTTCGACGAGAATGGGCATTATGGGGGGCGGGGGGGAGGGGCCGGGGGATAACGCCTCCCCCCCGCCGTGCGCACGGCGGCAGTGCCCGGAGCGCACTGGAGGGGGAGGGGTGTTACGTTATAGGGGGCGGAGGGGAGGCTGGGGGCGATAATGGCCAGTATGCCCCAAGCAATAAAGAAACACGCTCTACCCATCACTCCAACGCAGTGTTTTTCCATGACGTCGACCACCACAAGATCTAGACCCCTTCCCTTGGGAGCGGTGCTCTGCCCCGAGTCGTTGCTTACGATCCTGGTGCCCGGCCAAGGCCCCTGGAGGCCGACAGCTGCCAAAAAACTCCGTCGCGATTTGTTTATTACAGCGAGAGGAGGTGAGGGGGTGAGATCGAAAAGGAACGGAGAGGCCCCCCCCCCCGGGGAAATCGGTGTCGGTTTCAGGCTCGTATCGTGCGTGCGGGCGAGGCGAAACTGCGTGGGCGGGCGAGAGGAATGACTCTGCTGTGGTTAGGGCGGACCAAACGCACAAGACCGCCCCTCCCCTCCCCGTTGGGCAGGCGGTGGCGGGGTTGTCCCGCCGTGTCCCATGTCCCGTCACTGTCCCGTCGCTGTCCTGTCGCGGTGGGCCGGCGGTGGCCGGGTTGTCCCGCCGTGTCCCGTCTCTTTCCCGTCGCTGTCCCGTCGCTGTCCCGTCGGTGCCCCGCCCGTGTCCCGGCGGTGTCTCGTCGGTGTCCCCTCGGTGTCTCGTCGGTGTCCTGTCGGTGTCGCGTGGGTGCCCCACAGGGTCCCGCGGTGTCCCGTGGTGTCCCGTCGGTGTCCCGTGAGATCGATAGTGAGCTCGACAGTGAGATCGATGGTTAGATCCATAGTGGGATCAATCGTAAGATCGATAGTGAGACCGATAGTGAGATCGATCGTGAGATCGATAGTGAGATCAATAGTGAGATCGAAAGGGAGATCGATCTCGAGATCGATAGTGGGGTCGATTGTGACGTCGATTGTGAGATCGATAGTGAGATCAGTAGTGAGATCGAAAGTGAGATCGGTAATAAGATCGATCGTGAAATCAATAGTGAGGTCGATTGCGAGGTCGATTGTGAGATCGAAGGTCGATTGTGAGATCGACAGCGAGATCGACTGAGGGAGACGTTGGCTCCTCCCTCCCCCCGGACTTCCGTAGCGCCCGAAGCGTGGTCGTATGCGTATGCGGCACCAAACGACTTGCAACCACGTGCAATCCCTCCTGCGGGGGCGTCCAGGTACTTCTCCCCCTCCCCCTGGTCCAGGGGCTCCGGTGGCCCGGCCGAACAAACAGAAGCGACGGGCGCGCTGGCTCCACACGCGCAGGACGCGTCCATGCGCCACCACTGGGCCTGGCCAGGGCCATCCTGGGCCCTGGCATGGTGTGCACGCCGCCTGGCCGAGGCCAGGAAGGTCCGTACACCATGGTGGGGCCCAGGAGGATGAACCTGGCCAGACACGGCGGTGTACAGATGACTCCTGCAGACCACAGGCTCTGAGCGGGTGGGAGGCTGGTGCGACGAGGGGATCCCTAGGTCTCCGACGGTCGGGAACGTTTGCTTGGCGCGTCGCGGCGGCGGCCCCGGCGACACGCTGTGCCTTGCGAAAGGACAGCGCGTCGCTCCGCTCCATGGGGAGGGAGCTCGGGAAAGGCTCGGGACGTTGACGCTTGGACTGGGGCATGGATGGGCATGGATACCGTGTCGCGCCAAGGCGTGATGGGCCAGAACCTGCGCTAAGCCAAATTCCTGCCCGTCGCTTCGCGCCTTCGCGCCCCGCGGTGCGCGATTGCCTCCGCGCCCTCGCGCCGCCTGCCCCGAGGAAAACAACCGCTCCGGCCGAGGCCTCAGCGCTGGAAAGGCGATGCTCCTCGTGCCCCCGCGAACGACCTGGACTCCCAGGTCGGCTGTGTCGAGCAGGGGCGGAGCGCTGGCTCGACAGGCTGGGCGAGGCAGGAGGCTGGGACGGAGAGGGGGCAGAACGCCGTGGCGCGGCGAGGGCCTCCCGCCGCTCCCGGGCAGCGTGCTGGCCGATCTCGGCTCGGCCTCGGCGGAGACGAGGCCAGGGCCAGGACACGATCAGACCTGGTGGGGCTTCGGGCTGCGCCGCACGAGCAGCCCCCCCGGGTAAGCAGGCCCGCCTGGCCTCAGTACATCCGCCCCCGAGTTTGACGGGCAGGTCTCGCCACCCCGACCGGAGCGCCTCAGGGGCGGCGCCTCGGGGGGGCGGCGCCGGGGTGCTGAGACCGCCCCAGGCTACTCGGGGGGCCAGTTGAAGCCAGCTGGGACTACTCGGGGGGCCTGCCGAGGCCAGCAGAGACTGTCTGGGGTCTGGAGGGGCCGTCGAATGCACAGTCCGAAGCCTTCCCAGTCGGAGCTGGGCAGATCGAGAACCTCTGAGAGCTGTCGGCTCTGGAGGATGCATCGGGCACCATGGCCTTTCCGGAGCGCTCTCCCTGTCGAGGGGGCCGCCCTCTGGCCAGCCCCGGCAGGGCGACGACATGTATGCACATTCGCTGCTCCCTGGCCAGGCCCACCCTGAACCCAGCAGCGGCGTATACGCCACGCCCTCCTGGCTTGGCCAGGAGAGCGTACACGCAGCTCCAGGGAGCAGCACACATGTACAGATGTCAGGGATGGATAGATACCCTTTTAGTTAAACGCGGTTTCGTGTGTATAAATAAATATGATAACAACCATGAATGGGAATAATGATAATAATAAGAATCATAGCAATAATAATTTAGAAAAGTTTGGAAAAAAAAACTAGTAATAATAATCATAATAATGCTAATAATCATAATAATAAATAAATAAATGAATAAATAAATAAATAAATAAATAAATATATAAATAATAATAATAATAATAATAACAACAAAAATACGAATACGCATAATAATAGTAATTATAAAAACAATAGTGATAAGAATGAAAATGCTACGAATACTAATAATAATGATAACAATATTGAGTCTAATGCGATTAGTACTAACAATCACGATAGAAATAGTAATTATAATAACCATGATATTAAGAATAATGAGACGAATACTGATACTACTAATAATAATACGAATGTTTAAAAAAAAAAAAAAAGAATACGAATAATAATACTTAATAATAACAGTACGAAAAAAATGACAACATCCATACTACTAATAATACGAAAGATGATACTATATACTCAGACACAAGAACAACTCGGGCCCAAACCTGGCGGGCGCAAGCCTAGAAAACGACGGTCGCGGCGCCCTATCGAGAACCGAAAACGGACAATTCACGAATCGAAGTGTCAGGGTTCGTCATCGTCGTCGTCGTCGCCGCCGTCGTCGCCGTCGTCGTCGTCGTCGCCTCCTCCCCCCTCCCTCCTCACTCCTCCCTACTCCTTCCTCCCTCCTCCCCCCCCTCCCCCCTCCCTCCCTCCTCCTCCCTCCTCTCCTCACAACCCCGAAAAATTCGTCACCCGACCCGAGAGGCGCCGCCTCCTCCTGGTGCTGGGCCAGGAGCGTCAGCTGCACGCCGAGCCAGCACCCCCCGAAGACGGCCAGCGTGACGACCTGCCAGGTCCTCGGCGGCAGGAGGAGGAGGAGGAGGAGGAGGAGGAGCCAGAGGAGGAGGAGGAGGAGGAGGAGGAGGAGGAGGAGGAGGAGGAGGAGGTGGAAGGAGGAGGAGGAGGAAGGAGAGGGAAGGTGAGGGAGGGAGGGAGGGGGCGCGGGCCGCGGAGCCCGAGGTCGGACCCGCCCCTCCGCCTCGCATGGCAGACGCAGTCGGCCTCGGATCGGCAAGTCGGATCGATCATGGGCCCGTTTTCCACCACCACCACCACCACCACCACCATAAGTTGGAGGTGGGGGAGGAGGTGGAGGATGAGGAGGAGGAGGAGGAGGAGGAGGAGGAGGAGGAGGAGGAGGGGGAGGAGGAGGAGGAGGAGGAGGAGGAGGAGGAGGAGGAGGAGGAGGAGGAGGAGGAGGAGGAGGACACCCTCCCCCTCCTGCTTACGGGGGTGGTGGAAAGCAAGCCCACCTAACGAAGCGAAAAGCGCATCGGATCGGTCTGCCTCGCCACAGGCACGAAAGGATGAGAGAGAGAGAGACAGCCCGTGGAGGTGTCAAGAGCGCTCCTGCACCTCTCGCCTTGCGCCGGGCTGCGGAGAGGACTACATCATCGTCAGGCGTCGGCCCAACGTTTGTGCTGTCCGCCTCGCGCTCGCGCAGCCGGCACCCTAGGCCAAGGCGCCCAATTGAGCGCTCTCCCACTCCACCGGCTGTTTGCGCAGACGGAGATCTTATCGGTCAGCGCCTTTTCCACATTCCTGAAAAGCACGGTACTCCTCGACCCCGAACCTGGTGGCAAGCGTCCACAGGCACGAAAGGGTAGGATCGCAAAGGGCAGGGTAGACAATCAGCGCACATAGCTGGCTTTCCAGGCGCCTCCTGGCGCCCAGGACGTATGGAAAAATGGGCCTGGTGGCGGGGCGGAAACCAGCTGCATACACCAGATATAATACCCCCCGCAATCCCTATCTGGCCCTATCCTACCCTTTCGTCCGGCCCGAGAATCGAGATCTAATCGGATCGGCTGCGCCAGGATGCACCACAACGCCGCATCGGATCATCGGGGTACAGCAGGCTCGTGTCGTGCCGACACGAAGGTTGGTTCCTGCCACCGCGGAGATCGTTTAACCTTAAACGGTCGGCCGTTTCCGAGACGTCAGATCGTCCAGCTGCCAGTCGACACGATGCGAAACTACATACCTTTAGGTCGGGCCTGCTCCCCCTACACGGGGATTTTGGACGGAAAAAAAGCAACAGCCCAAAAATACCCAACAAATGCCCCAAAATACTCAAACCAGAGTTCCCCAAAGATTTGTCACTATTTCTGAACATTCCCCCTGTAGAGGCACAGGCCCGACACAAACTTACCTCATCGGAATCAAATCGGATCGGGCTGGCCGGAATCGGCATCGAATCGGATCGCCCGTATCGAAACGGGCCCTGTGCTGGGCACCGTGCGACCTCCGAGGCAGAGCGCCTTTCAGGCGTCTCCTGGCCTGGGGAATGCCCACAGTTTTTTGATTCGCGGGTCGAAAGCGAGCCTCTTCCGGTCGAGGCTAAGCGGGCCGCGCAAAGCTTTGATTAACAGAGGAAGCCGGAATGCCCACACAGAGGGGGGCATCCAAAACCAGAAACGCCCCCAGAAGCACATCCAAGGGCCCTCCCCCGAGACCCCTCCTTAGAAGTCAAAAAATCCACCCCCATAATAACCACCCCGACACGCGAAGTCGTTTAGTAAACGAGCCCAAAGAAGGAATCGAACAGGGCAGGGCTGTTCAAAAAAGCGCCCAAGGCCGTTGAGTAAACGCCAATTGTCCGGTCCGGGTGGTTTTCCCTCCCTTGACTCCTTCCCCCCTCCAGCCCCGATCCCCTCTGCCCACTGCCCCCAAGTCAGGAGTGCAAGTGGTCTACTGTGACACCCCCATCACACCTCCTCTGGCGCGACAGCAGCCGACAGCGAAAGCTGGGGACGACGAGGCTGCCGACGAATACGAAGACGACGACGACAGCAACCACGACAAACACAACGACGATCACGACGGTATCAAAAAGGACGACGACGACGACGACGAACGAGGTCGCCAGCGACACCAACGACGACGACGGCATCGGCGGCATCGACGATTTCGACATCGACGACGACAACAACGACGACGACGACGACGGCAACAACGAACGAGATCTGATCCAGTGAGGAGGGCGGGCGGGACATCACATCAAACCTTCACCTGTTGAGAAAACGAGGTTGGGGACACAGGAACTTACGCCATCGGCAGCGACGATGCCGACGGCGGCATCGGCAGCGGCGGCATCGGGACACAGGAACTTACGCCATCGGCAGCGACGTCATAGACGATCGGCTGCCGGCGCGGAGGGGGGCGGGGGAAAGGGTTCACCAGGAGGCTTGGAATTGGGCACCAACAGCAACACCAGTCTGCCTCTACCGGGGGAAGCGGGTCCTAGATTGCGGTGGTGGTGGTCATTGTTCGGCCACCTTGGAAGCCCCAGTATTACCACCATCGCCGAAATGAGGATCATCTTCCTTCGGTGTTAACCTCTAGGGCTCTAGGGCTGCGGTTCACAGACCCGCCCTCCGCCCCTGATCTTGGGGGTGCTCGGATGCCAAGTTGGCCCCCCGCGCGCGCTCACGCAGGGACGAGGTCCGGGCGGAGAGGACAGCCAGGCGGCCGACAGCGACGTCGACGACGACGACGACGACGACGACGACGTCGGCGACGGACAACGAGGGGCAGAGCGGGCGACAACGAGAACGGCACGGTGCCAAGCGCATGTGGGAATCGCTCTTTCCGACCTCCTTCCCGCCATGGTCGGGCGTTGGGCATGTCTCCCCTTGCCGAAACTCGTGCCGAACCCTCAAGACACGCCACGGTAGAAATGCTCAACCCATACATCTCGAATCTGGGAGGACACATCCTTACCTCGCAGCGCGGCAGAGGCAATCCGCACGCGCGCTCAGGCGGTCTGGGCAATGGAAAGCGCGAACTAACCGGCGACAGGAGGAAAAGCCAGGCGGAAGCGGCCTCGGGGCGGGAGGGGGAAGGGAAGGGCGCTCACATGGCGGGCGTCGCCGCGGAGCGGCGGGGGGGCAAGCCATCTCTGCACCCCTGGCAGCGGGCGCGGGGCGGCGTCGCGGCCACACCCAGGGGCTGAGGCAATCTGGGAGGACTCCTTCATTCTCGCAGGGCTACGCGGACCTCTTGGGTCGGCGTGGCAGAGAACGGAGAGACGACAAAATCGCAGGTCGACGGATGAAGGCGACAAAGACGCGGCGGAGGGGGGGGGGCAGCGGAGACGGGGGGAAGGAAGTGGGATCCAGCGCCGACCACAAAAGATCCGCGCCGACCTCCGCGAAATGAATTCGTTGTCCCGGTGCAAATTTGCATTATCATATCCCGATCCAGCTCTAACGTCCTGTTCGTTCGTCTACCCCGCGACAAGCAAGTGTGTGCACTCCTGTCTACCACGAGAGGAGCACGAGCCGGCGGCTGCAGTAGGGATGGACAACCCAGGGGGAGGAGCAGTGCATGCATACAGGGGCACCGATCGCCCATCTGCTCGACGAGGTTCCCTGGGCGAATGCTGGGGGACTCCCAAACGTGGTCCGTGCGGAGGTGGTCGGAGGATCAAGCCACATCGGCGTGGAATTGGCCTCAACGCCGATGCATCGGCGATGAGGCGCGATCCTCCGATCCCATCTGCTCTGGCCCCAGTTGGGTGAGCTCGAAATACCCAGACCTCCGACGTCGCAATTTCTTCGCAACGTCGCCCCCCAAAGGTCCAGACCGCGTTCCCAGAACACTTTGCTCCTACCGAGCCGTTCCTCTGTGCGGTCCCGAAACCCAGTGAAGGCCCCATGGACACCGAATGCTGCCAAAGACCTCCCGTCGAACTCTGCCCGCAACGGCAGGAGGAGGGCGCACGCGCAGTGCCCACCTCCTGGGCGATCCACCCCCGTTGCCCCTCCGCCACGTGGGCGAGGGGGCCACCTCGTACGTCCGGCCCTTCCCCATGTGGGTAGTTTGCGGCCCCGGGTCAGCCTTTGGTGGCCCCCTTGGCCCGAAAAATCGGCCCGGCGAGGCCGCAGTCCAGAACCGCCCAGATCGAAGAAACACGTCGTTGGAGATCTGGGGCAGTGAGAAACTGGAAGTCCTGGGCGAGATCCATCCCTGCTGCCCCCTCCTGGGTAGTCCATCACTGCTGCCTCCCTTCAGTAAGCAAGACGGACCTCTGGTGCGAAACTTGCCGCCCGCCGCGCGCGATGCGACAGTAGCAGCCTGCGCGCTTGGGATTGGCCCCCGCGCGCCACCCGAAGGCCACTCAGCAAAGGCCACTCTGGCAAAGGGTTCTTCTTGCGTGCAGCTAAGAAAAACAAAACATCCCGCAGCTAGCCCCCGACCTCTCGACCACTTCCCCAGGACCGTTTCTCCATCCCGCGTGTCGTTCTGACGGCCCCGAGACTGGGGAAAGGGCCCGAAGTGCCCCGAGAGGCCGAGAACTACGACCAAAAATCTCGGCCTCCACTTTTCCGAGACACCGGATGTCTGCGGGGGGGATCTGGGAGGCCTCAAGCCCGGCGCCATGGCTCATGTTCTGCGCATGGCCGCGGCAGGGCCCCGCGCACCCGGGCGGCCCCAGCGCCCTCCACGCCTGGGCCGCCCGCCCGATCCCCCCCCCGGGTGCAGGGCGCAGACCTACAGCGGACCGCTGCTCCCACCCTTTTGCGTGTTCAATGCTTGGAGGCCTCCCGGGTGGGGTCCGAAAAGATGAGGTCGGAGGTTCGTGCCGCATCGCCGATGCATCGTCGATACGTCGTCGATGCATCGGCGACGTCGACGGTGCGTCGGCGCCGAAGGGCGTGGAGAACATGGGGCTCCACGTCGAGCCGCATCACCGATGCATCGCCGATGCGGCGCGACGGACTAGCGGACTGCTTCTCCCAGCCCTTCTGCGTGTTGGGTCCTCGCTGTGAACCCCCGCACTATAAGCAATAGTCGAGACGGGAGGCTCTTGGCAATTTCCGGCCCCGAAAGGCCCTCGCCAGGCCCCAAGACCGCCAGCGGGGAAAGAGGAAACCGGTCCCGGGGAAGAGGTCTGGACCTCTGGGGGCCGACTTTGTGGAACAAATCACGGCGTCAGAAGACTTCTAGTATTGTTTTCCATTTACGGTTTGTATGCGTTGTCCCTCGTTCTGCCTTGTTTTCGCCTGTGCTGCAAAACGAAGTCAAACCGACGGTGCAGGAAATCGCCAAAAAACGCAATTCAGCTCGAGCCCTGCTGTTTTCTTGATTATTTCCTAGTAGCGTTGCCCAGGTGGGAGACCATACATAGACAATAAATTCGAACCCTGCGGTCCAAAATGTCCCCCCCCAGAACCTGCAAATGAATATCGAGAGCGCGGCTTGGGAGGGCCTGGGTGAACAAATATTTTCGAGCTCCCGAACCATCACTCATGCTAAAATCAACATTGATTTCGGGGGCTGGGGGGCGATGGATATCCCCATATCCTTCAAATGTGTGAGGGTTTATCTCCATGTACTGAAAGGAGGGGGCCGGGAAATCTGCTTCAAAACCACCGCGCCGGGCACAGCACACAAAAAAAGAACGCACCGCAAATGAACGCTTTCTCAAACACGCCGCCAAACCAAAACAGGCGCAACGTTATCCAAACACCCAGGCCAAAGAAACAATATGTATTACAATCGGTGTGAACTGTGTTTTACAAAAAAATGATTCGCTTCACGGCGTCCAAAACCAAACAAACGGAACGTTCTGAGCACCCAGGCCAGGGATAAGAATTCAAATTACGATCCGTGTGAACGAATCAAGACAAAACCAGAACAATAAATTGCTGCACGATCTAAACAAAAACAAAACAACGTTCACCAAAATACCCATGCCAGGGAAAGAAATTTAAACTAAGATTCACGTCAACCAGTCAAAATAATACCAATTAGATTCGACATTGCTGCACGGCGTCGAAAACCGAACAATCGCAACGTTGACAGAACATCCGGGCAAGATGGGCAATTTGAATTACGATCCGCGTGGAGCGATCGAAATGTAAACCAGAGAATATTGTTACACGGCGTCAAAACCAAAATAAACTCAACGTTGACAGAGCGCCCAAGCCAGGGGAGACAAATTCAAATGACGATCCGCGTGAACGAATCAAAACGAAACCCCAAAAAATGTAATGTACTGCACGGCGTCCGAAACAAAAAAACGCACCGTGGGAAACAAATTCAACTCAAACCCAGGGAGAGAATTTAAACGACGATCTGCGTGAACCGATCAAAACAAAACAAAACATATTGCTACACGGCGTCCAAAACCAAAAAAACGGAACGATGACAGAACATCCAGGCCAAGGAAGACAAATTCAAACGACGACCCGAGGAGAAGAAGAAGGAGGAAGAGCAGGAACAAGAGAAAGAGGAGGAAGAGAATGAGGAAAAGGAGGAAGAAGGGAAGGAGAAGGCAGAGAAAAAAGAGGAGGAGAAAGAGAATGAGTAAGAGGAAGAGGAAGAGGAGGAGGGGGCCGGGGAAAGAGGGGGAGGAGGAGGAACAGGAGGAAGAGGACGAGGAGGAAAAGGAGAAGGAGAAAGAGGGGGAGGAGCAGGAGGAGGAGGAGGAGGAAGAGGAGGAGGAGGCGGAGGAAGGAGGAGGAAAAAGAAGAGGAAGAGAAGGAGGAGAAGGAGGATGAGGAGGAGGAGGAGAAGGAGGAGAAGAAGCCCAGCCCTTCAGGGCGTAAGGTGGTTTAAGGAGCTTCCTCTTGCACCCCACCCCTCTCTCTTCCCCTTAGGGGAGGGGGTTTATCCCTCCCCTACTCTCTCCCTGGACCTGGACGGAGGGTTTCGCAGGTAGTTGGAGCGTCCAAAGCGGCCTCGGCGAGGAAGTCAAAATCACTGGTTTACCAAGGTTTTTGGCCTCATTTTGGGGAGGGGAGGGGTGCTAACTAGGGACCCCCCCTTCTTTGATCGATCTCCTCCGAGATGACCCCAAACCAAGAGGCCCCAAGAGGACCCCAAGAGGCCCCCAGGATGCCCCCAAGAGGCTCCCAAGAGACCCCCAGCAGGCCCCGAAGGCCCCCCACAGGCACCCACGGCGCTTCAAGAGGCCTCGGCGAGAATGTCAAAACCATTGATTGTACTAAGGTGTTGGCCACAATTTGGCCTCCGGGGGGGGGAGGGGCACTGATTAAGATAACTCCAAGAGCTGGGAGGGCCCAAAATGACCTCCAAAATAGCTCAAGATATCTCAAGGAGGCTCAAGATAGCTCTTACGATGCTCCAAGAGGCCCCCTGACCGCTCCAAGACGGCTCCAAGTGGCCAAAGAGCTCCCCCTGCAGGCCCTAAAAAAAACAAAAATCATCCAAAACCTTTGAAACTGCATGTTTTCTGTTTTCTCGCCTTTTCGATTCCGATGGCCATCCGAGGCCTCAAAATGGCTCCAAGATGGCCCAAAAAGGCCCCAAGAGAAACTCAAGAGAGTCTCAACACGGCCCCAAGAGCGCCCTACAGCGCTCCAAGAACGCCCCAAGAGCGCCCCAAAAGGCGACTTGTAGGGCTCCCGAAGGGCAACGCTAATGTATGCTCTCCGCTTGGTTGATCGATGCTCTTCAAGATGGCCCCAAGAGCGCTCCCAAGGCTCCCAGGAGCTCTTCAAGTGGGCCCCAAGAGGCGCCCAGGAGGCCCCAACAGGCGCCCAAGAGGCCTCCAAGGCTCCCAGGAGACCCCCAAGAGGCCCCAAGAAGCTCTCCGAAGCACCGAAAGCGTTCTAACAGGCGTCCAGGGCCGCCAAGAGGCCCCCAAGACGCTCCAAGAGGCCTCCACTGGGGGACGCTTCTCTGTGTGCTGCCCACTTCCCTGATCGAGGCAATTCCTCTAGGCATCGTTTCTGGATGGGTTGATGAGGTAACTTTTTTATTTTTTTTACAGCCGCAGGCGGAAGCGCCAGCGGCGGGCGGTCGCGGGCGGGCTACGGCCGCGACTAAATTGCACGTTGATGAGGTAACGCGAAGCGTCTAGAATTCTCAAAAACGGCTTCTGCGGGGGAAAACGGTTCCGAGAAAATCCAAGATTATCCCGGCAAAGCAACCTAACAGCGATGTGTAGAAGCATATCTGAAAGCATTCCCCTTAAGATTCTGATGAAAATCCAGTTGTCGAATTCTGCTGTTCTCGCAGTCGTAGTCGCATTCGCGATGACAGTCGCAGCGGCAACGGCGGTCGCAGTCACAGCCTCAGCCTCAGCCTCAGCCTGCCTCCTCCTCCTCCTCCTCCTTCTCCTGCTCCTCCTCCTCCTCCTCCTCCTCCTCCTCTTCCTCCTGCTCGTCCTCGTTCTCGTCCTCCTCGTCTTGCTCGTCCTCCTCCTCCTGGTGCTCTCTCCTCCTCCTCCTCCTCCTCCTCCTGGTGGTCCTCGTTCTCCTCCTCCTGGTGCTCTCCCCCCCCCTCCTCCTCCTCGTCCTCCTCCTCCTCCTCCTCCTCGTCCTCCTCCTCCTCTTCCTCCTCCTCCTCCTCCTGGTAGTCCTCCCCCTCCCCTCCTCCTCCTCCTCCTCCTCTTCCTGGTCGTCCTCGTTCTCGTCCTCCTCGTCTTGCTCGTCCTCCTCCTCCTGGTGTTCTCTCCTCCTCCTCCTCCTCCTCCTCCTCCTCCTCCTCCTCCTGGTGGTCCTCGTTCTCCTCCTCCTGGTACTCTCCCCCCCCCTCCTCCTCCTCCTCCTCGTCCTCGTCCTCCTCCTCCTCCTCCTCCTCTTCCTCCTCCTCCTCCTCCTCCTCCTCCTCCTCCTGGTACTCCTCCCCCTCCCCTCCTCCTCCTCCTCCTCCTCCTCCTCCTCCTCCTGGTCGTCCTCCTCCTCCTGGTCGTCCTCCTCCTCCTGCTCGTCCTCCTCCTCCTCCTGCTCGTCCTTCTTCTCCTGCTCCTCCTGCTCCTCGTCCTGCTCCTGCTCGTCCTCGTCCTCCTGGTCTTGCTCGTCCTCCTCCTCGTCGTGCTCTTGCCCCTGCTGAAAATGTGGCCCAGGAATGGGAGTTCTGGGAAGTCGAAGAGCACGAAGTTGCCTACAGTTGGCTACGGGCATTCAAAATGTGGCCCGGGAATGGAGTTCTGGGAACTCGAAGAGCACGAAGTGGCCTACAGTTGGCTCCGGGCATTCAAAATGTGGCCCGGGAATGGAGTTCTGGGAACTCGAAGACACGAAGTGGCCTACAGTTGGCTCCGGGCATCAAAATGTGGCCCGGGAATGGAGTTCTGGGAACTCGAAGAGCACGAAGTGTGTGACTGTTGCATCCGGCCCTCCAGAATGTGGCCCGGGAATGGAGTTCTGGGAACTCGAAGAGCACGAAGTGTGTGACTGTTGCATCCGGTTATTCAGAATGAGCCTGGGAATGAAGTTCTGGGAAGTCGAAGAGCACGAAGTGTGTGACTGTTAATGAAAAACGAGCGGGGCACCCTGCCGCCCGGCAACTCCCAACACCTGCCCGGACCCCCCTGTGGAGTGATCTGTGAGCTCTTTTGATACCACTAGAAACCTATCAGTCTTCGCTGTTAGGTAATGATCAAGCCTGCACAAATGGGCGCTCCCGCCCCCCAGGCCCCATCCAAAGCCCCGCAGGGCCAGGCCCGCGCGCAAGGGACGGCGGCGAGCAGG